CAAGTTTTCTCAATTCTCAGGTAAAGATCCAAGCTCGCTTTTTTCTCTCTTATCTTCTCTCAATTTCCTTCCTGTAATCTAGGGTTTTCGATCTCGAATTTCTGAACAATTGTAGGTATTTGATTTTGCCTGAGATTGCGAATTTTCTGGTATATTTTTTTCTGTATTTCTGAAGCTTTGGGAAATTGACGAATGCACTAATCTTCCTTGCGTTAAATCTATCTGTTTTCTAATTATTAGTGTTTTTTATAATTCACCAGAAGAAACAATTTTGCCGACGTAATGTCGCCAATTCTGAATCAGTTTGTGTTTATCAATTTTAAGATCCAACCTTTTTGCATGAGATCTTAAATCTCCTTTTAGCTTGATTTCACTTGAGGTTGAATTTACTCTTTGTAATAGTTAAGACATTGTTGAAGAAGATTGTCTGATAGATTTGTGTTTCTTTTGCTGCAGAATGGGAACTACCAATGGAACTGACTATGGTGCCTACACATACAAGGAGCTTGAGAGAGAGCCTTACTGGCCTTCTAACAAGCTCAGGATATCGATTACCGGCGCTGGAGGTTTCATCGCCTCCCACATTGCTCGTCGTTTGAAGCACGAGGGCCATTACGTGATTGCTTCTGACTGGAAGAAGAACGAGCACATGACTGAAGACATGTTCTGCAATGAATTCCACCTTGTTGATCTAAGGGTTATGGATAATTGCCTCAAGGTCACAAGTGGAGTTGATCATGTCTTTAACTTAGCTGCTGATATGGGTGGTATGGGTTTCATCCAGTCCAACCACTCTGTTATCATGTATAACAATACCATGATCAGCTTCAACATGATCGAGGCTGCTAGGATCAATGGGGTTAAGAGGTCAGATTGCGTTTTCTTGGGGTTTTGACCTACATGGTGGATTTTCTTATCAACAGACTTACTAAGAGATTGTTTCTGTTTCAGGTTCTTCTATGCTTCCAGTGCATGTATCTATCCTGAGTTCAAGCAGCTGGAAACTACTAATGTGAGCCTCAAGGAGTCAGATGCTTGGCCTGCAGAGGTTTGTGTCAACCCTGATGAATGATTCTTTGGAAAAGATGAACGAGTTTTTCTTACATGACATTATTCTTTAATTTCTGTTGTCGTATAGCCTCAAGATGCTTATGGTTTGGAGAAACTTGCAACGGAGGAGTTGTGCAAGCATTACAACAAAGATTTTGGTATCGAGTGCCGCATTGGAAGGTTCCATAACATTTACGGTCCTTTTGGAACATGGAAAGGTAAACAAACAAACAGTTTCCAGACTTGGCGCTAACCATTACTTGCTTACCGTTGGGTTTAATATTCGCTGTACATATGGGTGTCACTTCAGGTGGGAGAGAGAAGGCTCCAGCTGCTTTCTGCAGAAAGGCACTCACCTCCACTGATAGGTTTGAGATGTGGGGAGATGGGCTTCAAACCCGCTCATTTACTTTCATTGATGAGTGTGTCGAAGGTGTACTCAGGTGAGGGCATTAGCTCCAGTTTATTGATAATGAAATTTGTATGTTATACATAATTGTCTGAATTTTTTTTTCCCCATTCGTTGTTTTCAGGTTGACAAAATCAGATTTTCGTGAGCCGGTGAACATTGGAAGTGATGAGATGGTGAGCATGAACGAGATGGCTGAGATGGTTCTGAGCTTTGATGAGAAGAAGCTTCCTATTCACCACATCCCAGGTCCAGAAGGTGTCCGTGGCCGTAACTCAGACAACAATCTGATAAAAGAAAAGCTTGGCTGGGCTCCAACAATGAGATTGAAGGTACCAACATTATAAGTTAATTAGCTCATAGACCATATGGTAAACTATTAAAGGTGGGATGATAACTTAATTGTTTTATGAGGGTAATGAACGGTTATTTGTGTGATCACAATGGTTAAACAGGAGGGGCTTAGGATAACCTACTTCTGGATAAAGGAACAGATTGAGAAAGAGAAAGCAAAAGGCAGCGATGTGTCGCTTTACGGGTCATCGAAGGTGGTTGGGACTCAAGCACCGGTTCAGCTGGGCTCACTCCGTGCAGCTGATGGAAAAGAGTGAGGGGGTGATTGACCACAGTACAAGTGAAGCTCAAGTATGGCCTTCTAATATATAATTAAGGTCAGAAAAATGTTTAGTTATACGATTAGGTAGCTTCCTAAGAAATATTAAAAAGCAAAAAATAAGTGTATTGGATTTTGGTTTCTTTCTCTTCTGATTATCTTTCTTGCTTGCTGTAGTAAACCCATTATTCTTACTGGTTTTATTTTCAATTAAAAAGTTTGCACTTTTTAACTCGATTGTTGTGGTCCTTTCATAGTATGTTCATCATCACCGTCAACTTTATGTTGTAGTCCTGTCTCGGACCATACCAAGTGGTCCAAGATTTTGTTTCATCTCATCATGTCTTTACACATATCTAGGCTTAAGGATCATTCACCATTCTTTCTTTGTCTTTTCTCTGCCCTTCACTTTAGTTTCCCCATTCCTCGGCGATAAACATTACACGTTATTCGCTTTCCATCAATTATAATTTTCTTAAATATCAATCGGTAAAAGAAAAAGACTAACTAAACGTCACATGGCACTCGTGTAAATATGTCTATCGTGGCATAAGTTCATACATAGACTGTAAGATTTCATGAGTTTACCTAACACTTGCAACTTCCGGTCTGAAGAAAATCATTTATCATCCATATTCAACAATAGTTTCATCGCAGACCACATAATTGGGTGTGACTGAAATTCTCAGATGTACAACAGTATACCTCGAAGACTATCTGAAGTTTTCCTCTCTTTTAGTTAATGATGGATTTACTTACGGGGTACAATGGCCCGCTCTAGAGATTAGTAACACAATATACCGGTGTGGCTTCTAGCGACTCCTCCAATTTTCTTAGTATATCCTTTAGAGCATCTATAAACCCATCTTTGGAAGGATTAGTGGTTTCTTTCTCTCTGTTATTCACCTCAGAAAATATGGTCTCGTAGAGAAGAGCCACTGGCTCATCGTCTGAAGTTAACGGAGGCAATCCCAACTCTTTTCCGTTCTTCTCGATCAAAGTCTTTATAAGATCTGCCCATCCTTGGTTGTCTTTCCCGTCCGAAACATCAAGTATCATGTTCTCTACGAGACACTTAAGTTTATCCTCGTCTGCAAGAATCTGTGAACAAAAATTGGTCGAGCTGGTCAAAGATCCATGCTTTATTCAAGAACAAAACCCAAAAATATATTGAAATTTCCTGTATATATTCTTTAGAAATTCATAATTTTATAAGCAAGGGAATGTGGACTAACCTTACGCAGCCTTGACCCGGTGAAAATCTCAACGTTCTGCACAATTGTTATTGGTTTCTCATGAAGGATATCTGCTATTTCTTGTAGAACTGGCTGCAGTAGTTCTGCAAACTGTGCTTGTCCAAGTTCTTCATTACCATCAGCATCGTGCTTCTTAATGATGTCATCAAAGATGGGAAACTCTGTTCCAAACAAACAAACCTGGTTATGTAAAGAATGCAAAGGACAACAGAATTTATGGGGAATACTGAATCCCTAATCCACAACTACCAAAAGCAGGAAATGCATGTCATACAGTAGAAGAAACTTTGTAAACACAATGGCCATTACTAAAACTGATTTCAAAAAGGCTTTGATTTCAGGGCTAACGAAATCAATGGACTTGCTCAACGGTTAAAATTACTGTGACACTAGGGTATGGAAATATGCTAATAATTCCAATAGATTCCGTCGAGATTGAAACAGTGGAAGGCAAAGTAAAAGAGCAAGAAAGCAGAAACCTGAGAGTGGAGGGACACCCATCTCAACACCCATGTGTGAAAGAGCCTTTCGTATCTCGCTCTTGCAAAGCTTTCCTTTATCTTCTTCATCCAAATCTGTGAAGAGATTCTCTGCCAACATTGCAAAATCATCTTCATCTTCCAAAAACAGCTTCAACGTACTCCCATCCAGAATTGAGACCACAATTGGAGTATCTGCAAAAAGCACACTATAACATTTAGTAAACTAAGCTAGAGACCGAGTCTAATGTATCAATTCAATCCATAGACAAGGACTATCATCAACATTTATGCATCCAATTTTCCATGAACCTTGAGGGGTAATCTATCCGATCCGATTAACTGAAAATTTCTGGACAATTAATACATGATGGAGTGAAATTATTGCTCATACACACAATATTGAAGGGATTAATCGGTGAGAGAGCATCGAATCACTATATAACACTGGTACGGTACCTCTAAGAGCATCGGCAACGGCGGAAACGAATACCCCGAGCTTCTCTGAGGCTTGTTGACGGTTGAGCTCCGTAAGACGGAAATTGACGTCATCTCCTGCGGTGACTCGAGAGATCGCCGCTTCTATGATGTGTGGCGGCAGTGAGAGACCCGAGAGAGATTCAGAAACCTTAGATTCAGAAATTTCGAGAAGCCGCGCTCCGGTGACGCCATGTTTGAGCTCCGGAATGTTGAGATCGATGGATCTAAGCACTGCACCGTCGAAGATCGTCAATCCCGCGTTCGACATT